GCCATTTGGGCTGTGGAATCCTGAGAAGCCCCCAGCCCATCAAGAAATCAGAGCCTTTCCCTAAGATGTGGAGCCATCAGCTGGAAGAGCTAGGCAGCTGGAGAGGCCCCCAAACCGCAAGGCCTCCCACCCTCCCATCTGGTGACCCACCATGCAGCCTTTACCCTGGGGAGGTGGGGCAGGAACACCCCTAGAGCCTGGCTGGAGGTTCCCCTGGATGCCTCCTGGACCAGGGTGCAAAAAGGGCAAGCGTGACTTGAGGCAACCACATGGCGGCCAGAACAGGGTGGGTGCTGGGCTTCCTGGTCGTCTCCTGGAAGTGGGGTCGGGCCAGGGGACACGGGATGGGGAGGTGCTGCCACCTGGGCTTGGTCTGCCCATTCGTGGGCACCAAGGGCAGCACGAGCCTGGGCTGCTGGAGGGCAGGAGGACTCTCAGTGAGGGGAGAGTCAGCTACACAATCAGAGACAGAGGGCGTGGCAGCAGGACACAGAGGGTGGCCACGGGGAGGATGAGATGCCCTCCGCTGATGGGGATGAAAGGTGTCTGACTTGGGCTTTGGGGGTCAGCCGCAGACTCCTGTGGGACCCTCAGCAGAGACACCTTGAAGACTCCCAAGGAGCTGGCTACACAAGGAAGGTGCCTTGGCTGAAAGCCGAGATCACCTGGCCAGGGTGGCCATCCCTGTGTCTGGCTGCATGAGGTCCCTTGGGCAGCTGTTCACCTACCCTGCAGGGAGTGCCTCTCCCTGGCCAGCAGCTGCACCAGTGCCCAGAATGCATCCTCTTCAGGCAGATACAGGAGGAACAAGGCCGCGATGGGGCTCAGGTCCCTGCAGTAGCCCACCTCCTGCAAGAGCCAGAGTCACCGTGAAAGGACATCACCTGGGAGGACTGAGGTCACCTGGGAGGACTCATATCATTGGAGAGGGCAGAGGTGACTGGGGAGGCTTCCTCTGAAGAAGAGGCTTCCTCAGGGTGCAAATTCATTTCATGACAAGAGCCAAGTCCATCAGGCACTTCAGCACCTTGTCCAAAATGTCTCCTGATGGCACCGTCCTGCGTGTGACTCTGCCAAGCTCCGGGGCTTTGGGGCAGCCCCAGGAGGAGGGCATCATTTCTTGTTCTGAGAAGTGGTGGTCAGGCCCAGGTGACACCAGGAGTCCAGGCCCCGACTCTTTTGTGTCTCAGCTTGACTCCTTGAGGCCACCCCCTTGCTTAGAGGTTTATGCCAGCAGTGAGCTGGAGTCCTACATCCTATATCCTGGTGGGTCACAAATACTAACTTTAAAAGAAGCAATGGCACCCACCAGACACCCACTCCTGTGAACAGGGAAATACTGTCCGGGAACGTCACTGCCAGGAATACTCACCGGGTTATACTCCGAATATGCCAGGAGGATGTAGAATAGTTCCCGCTGCCTAGGAGACAGAGAAAGGAGGCTTTTGTTTGTTTTGTGCAGATGCCGTTGGTTTCACTTTGTCCACAAAAGCCTAACAACGAATCCCATTTCAGGTTCAGATGATTCACCAGATAAGCAGTGAGCTTCTCAGGGCCTTTGAGGAAATATTTCAGTAAAATCCACATCTGTGACATGCAGATAGCCCAGTCGTACAGTGACTTGCCTGATCCTTTTCACTCTGTGATTTTCTTTATTTTTTTTCAGTTTGCACACACACCAGTTCAGTCTTTGGATGTACAGTTCCTCCACGGTTCTAAACCAATGGGCAGAGTCTCCCGGCCACCGCTCCAGCCCCTCCTGGAGTGAGTCCTTCATCTTCCAAGTCTCCAGGGTGGCCTCTATGCACCCAGCCTCTCCCCAGTCTGTCAACCCCTGGCCACCCAGACTGCTTCGCAGTCCCTCTGATTTGGTCTTTTCCAGAATGACACAGGAATGGGAATCCTAGGTGGTAGCTTATTGGGTCTGGCTTCTTTCCCTCAGCAAAATGTATCTAGGATCCACCCACATTCATCCGGCCATCACTGGCTCATTCCCTTTTCTCACTGGGTCTTCCGTTTGGAGGGAGGACCAGTCTTGCTCTCCCCATTCCCAAGTTGAAGGCCATCCTCTAAGTCTCTGTGTATGAGTGATAATGAATTAAGCAGTGAACATCTTATGTGGATGTCAGTTTTCAAATCAGTGGGTTCAATATCTGAGACACTTTGGGGACACGTGCTTGAAGTCCACTGAGCTTTGTGAGCCACTGCCCAACTGGCTGCCAAAGTGGCTGTGCCATGTCACGTTCCCAGCAGACAAGGATGACAGTTTCCAGGACCCCTAATTGCCCCAGCATTTGGTGATGTCAGTGTTACCTCGGGAGGCTCTAGGGCCCTCTGTCCTGCCACCCTCCCATGAGTCCTACCGTGGGTCCCCGTGGGTCAGGGAGAGCACCTTTCACCATTGTGCATGATTTTGTTTGCTGCCTTCTGTCTCCTCAGGATCCTCCTGGGTTCTGGCCCCACGTGTTCCAGTCTGGCCTAGGGCTTGGCACCAGGGAGGTGCTTGTTTTATGGTGCCAGCTGCTCCCTGGGACAGGAGAGCTCTTGGCAGCTCTGTCATCCCTCCTAGGTGACCCTGGCTTCTGCTCCAGGGAAGCCCCCATCCCTTTCGTTCACTCCATGTCTGCTGTGATCCTGTGGCTCCCATAGGCTTACTTGGTTCCGTATCGATCCCTGAAGAAGATGTGAGTCCTTAGTGTCTTGCTTATGTCCACATCGATCTGGTGGATGTGTTCAGATGACCTCTTCCCCCTCTCCTTCATGACCTGTAGGGCAGGGCCAAGAGGAGGAAGCAGCCTCAGAACAGATGGAAGACTCCCGGCCCCAAATGGCAGTCAGCCCACAGTCAGCACTCC